CTAAATAGCAGCTGATGATTTATCAGATTAATCTGAGGTTTGAGTTAGTAGTTTTCTGATGTTGTTTGTTTGGGTTCAGAAGAGAAGGGGTGGGGAGAGAGAGGAGGTAATCTGCTAACTTTATGCATCCCCACCTCCAAAAGGTGCCTTGAAGAATGGTAACCTAGAGGACCCTTTACTTTTCCCAATTCCAGATTTCTCTTAGATAAGAGTGGCAAGAAACAGTAAGTAAGCAGTTAAGCACTTTCCTTTTATTAGCAATGAATTATCCAAGAGAATGATACATAAATTATGTATTTTTATCTAATTCTACATTGCCCAAGGACAACAAAGTAAATGAAAGGAAGAAAACGGAACTGTAGCAGAAAAACCAACAGTCCTTGAAAACAGAAGATAAAATGCACCTCGCCCTCCTCTTGGCAGAGAGGCAAAGGGCTATGAGGGCCAAATGCTGCAAACATTGTCAGACCAGGTCACGGGCTAGCCAGTGTTAACTGTGTTACTGCTTGAACAGTTTTCCCTTGTTGCCAGGGAGGGTTCAGTTCAGTGAGGTAGGAAAGAAAACACACATACATACCCCCCACAATGACAGTGAGGTTAAAAACAAAAGGCAGCAATAAAAGCTTATGTAGTAAGTACTACACTAGTCACCACCGCTGGTGAGAGACAGGAAGATAGGAGAGAGCAGGAAAGGCCAGGCCCCGGGACATCAGATTAGGGCATCTGCAGGGTCCTGCCTGGGGCTGCCCACCCACACATCGCATCACACATGCGCACTGCTCCCCTGCTCCTCCTATGTCACTTGGGTTCTTTTCCTCCAGCTCCCCCCACCACCCAAGACAGACGGCAGAGAAAAATGCCCCTCCCCCATTGAAAAGTGCCTAAAGCCCCTTCTCTCAGGGAGGGACGGAGCAGCCCGCACCTGTTCATCACCAAGTGGGATCACTCCCTACCCCCTACCCATTCCCCAAACACTCACTTCCCAGGAGATGAACAACCTACTTAAGCATGAAGTGGGGTGAGGGTGGGTGGAAAAGGGAGAATGGTGATCTGCTCTGGGAAGGGAACAACAAGCCAAATGGCGTCAGGGCTCCTCTACAGCACACTCAAGTACAGAACTATGAGATCATCAACTCCCTATTCTGAATCATAACTCCAAAAGTCTTTCCCTTTGCTATATGACATATCCCGCCCCTTCTGCCTCCTCTTCTCATACTCCGAACGAAGGAAAAGGATACATTGCCCAGGCAATATTACTGTTAACTAGGAGATACAAAAACTTGTTATATAACAACAACAAAAACGAAAAGTAATTTACTCTGAATTTAGGTTTGGGGAAGCCAATGAATAACCACAGATCAACTCTGAAAATGCTTATCCTAAAATTACCTAACAGCTCTTATTGGTAGAAACACTCTCATTCGTGTTGACAAAATACAAATTTGGTTCAGTTCAAATTACAAGAATTCTCATGTATCCTAATTTGGTCTTCTGGAGAAAAGGATTACAAATCTCCTTTACCCATCAAGATCTGATAGAAAACTGGATATTTACTAACAAGATACTATGAATATGTTAAAATTTATCTTAATAAGAAGTTGAAAGTATTTTCTATAACAGACCCTTCTCAGGAAGCAAGAAATTATAGCTAAATATTTATGCAAAGAAAATACTGCCAAGAATAAAAAAGTATCAAAATATCATGGGATAGTTTCCCTCATCACATAAGAATCTGCTGTTTTTAAGTTTAGCAAGTATGAAATGAATGGCCTCAAAAACTTCTACAAAACGTTCTGTGACAATTCTGTTTATAATTTTCTTATGGTGGTCTCAAAACAGCTTCTGAATGCATAATCTGATTAAGACTTTTCAGTTCACTAAGCTAAAGGAATCTGGATCATGCTGAGGGGTTTGCTATATTGCTCTCTCAGCCTGTAAACATTTCTCTAAACACACCTCAAAACTTGAAACTTCATACTAAAAATAGAAGGGAGGAAAAAAACCACATTAACAGAAACCAATGCATTTAAGAGCTAAAAAGAACCTCAAAGTCATCTACTTCAATTGGGTATTTTACAGGTAAACAGGAAAGGTGTATTTGCATAATCTTCTTAATACAGACACTTGAAGTTGAGCCCCCTACACCCTTGTGGATATACTGTCAGGCTCCCTTTGATGTATTTATTAGTTTTGCTTCTCTCTGTTTTGATTTGCTACAAAGGATCTGAGGAAAGGAGGTAGGAGGAATCTATCTGGAAAAGGAAGTAATGTAAATGTAAAAGATATCAATAATATTTTTTTAAAATAAAGTGTAACTCCCTTAATAACAGCCACAATTATAGAATTTCAGAGTTGGAATGACCTAAGTAGCCATTTAGTCTAACCCATACAAGAAGATGAATTCCCACTATGACCTATCTGACAAGTGGTCATCTAGTCTTCTCTAATGACTGGGAAGCAACTACCTCCTAAGGCAGCCATTACATAATGAAATCCTTTGTAAAAAACATCCTCTAAGGAAAACCCTAGCACCGATGCAGCAAGGTACAGTCGAAAGGGCACCGCACTTGTAGAATACTAATAATACCTGCTACAGCTCGCTCTGTCTCACAGCATAATTATGAGGATCAAATCAGATAACCCACATACAAAACAGCAATTTGAAAACCTCAAAGCATCACATAAGGAGAATATGATGTTATTAAATGATCTAAAGCATTTAAAATGATAAAGTAATGACTACTTTTCATCTTAATACTCACAGATTGTTTCTACAAGTCACTGAGAAAATTCAGTGTAGAATAAAGCAAACCATTTAATTGACAATGGTCACATTGGAAACCAGGCCATGGATTTTTCTGAAGTCAATTTTGCTGAATTAAACAGAAAACCTATATAAAACAAGCTGATTTCCATGGTAGTCAGTGTGCTGGACTACAAGCCATTCAATTCTTTTGCATCCATCAGATTTGGTGGTTTATAGTATTGTGGACAGCAGCAGTCATTAAAACCTGCCATATCTTTTACCAGTCAAATTAGGGTCAAAATAGAAACTTCAACTCAGATTTCTGACACAAAGTCGGTGTTTTTTCAAATGTGTCAGGAATTAAAACAAAGTATTGATGTGCAAATAGCCTTACACTGGTAAGAAACCTTTAGTGAATAACCCATGTCAATTATTTCATCACCAAAGTGAGCCAAGAGTCACAGCTGTTATTCTTGGAGAAATATATAATTTAGGTAAATTTCAGATGGTTTATTTATAAAGTCCTCAGAGCTCCTCAACTACTATATGCCAAGTTCTGTGCTGGACACTGGAAGTAAAAAAGCAAAATGTTTCCTGCTTCAAGGAGCTGACATGCTATTGGCAAGGGGAGGGGGAGATAACATATTCATACATAGCTAGCATTTATACTATGCTTTAAGGTTCACAAGGCACTTTACAGATATCTCATTTGATCCTCACAACAACCCTGGGAGGTAGGTGCTACTATTATTCCCATTTTACAAATGAGGAAACTGAGGCTCAGGGATTAAATGACACGCCTGGGTGTCACACAGCTAGGAAGTGTCAGAGGCAGGAATTAAACTCAAGTCTTGTTGACTCCAAGTCCAGTTTTCTGTACACTGAGACACCTACCCACATATTTATGAAGGGTATAAAATATATATACAAAAGAAAAATAAAGTGGGGAGGGAGAGACTAACACTAGGGGAAATCAAGAAAAACCTCTTGAAGAAAATATGTTGTGCATTGAGCCATGAATAAAGCCAGGAATTTTCTAAAAGGTGGTGAGATAAGAGAGAAAGATGCCAGACATGGGGCACAATCTGTGCAAAGGTGCTGATACAGGATAGAAAGCTATGTATGAGGAACAGCAAGGAAGCCCATTTGGCTGGAATTCAAAGCACGTTATGGGGACTACTATGTAATCTGCCTGGAAATACAGTCCAGAGCTAGATTTTTTAAGAGATTTAAATGCAAACAGATGAGTTTGTATGTGTCAAGAAAAAGAATATAGTCATTATCACCATCATCATCATCATCATAGTAATAATAAAAGCAGTAACAACCACCACTCACAAGCACTTTCCTCACAAGAACCCTGTGATGCAGAGTTAACAAAAGTATTATTATCCTCATTTTACAGATGAGGAAATAGGAATCCAGAAAAGTTATATGACTTAACAGTCACACAGTTGCTAAGGGTCAAAACAGAAACTTCAACTCAGATTTCTGACACAAAGTTGGTGTTTTTTCAAATGTGTCAGGAATTAAAACAAAAAAAATGCTTATCAAAACCAGAAATGTGACTGCATCATAGAGGAATCACCGAGTGTCAAATGATTTAATAAATGCGAGGAGGAAAAAAACATTTGTCTGTATTTTAATATTTGTGAAAATAGTTTACGTTGCCTCACCACGAAGAATTCAGGACACTTCAGAAGTTTGCTAAATGGAAGTTACAAGGAGCTACTGTGCAGTCAACAAGTGAGTTTTGGCAAAGTCAGAGAAATAAGAACTGAGAATTGCTTAGTGGCCAGTGACAAATTACATCACCTAGAAAAAAGAAGTAAGCTTGCCTTCTACAGTTTCTGGGCCCTCTCTCTGAGGGAGGGAAAGAGGTCTCTCCTCCCAGACTTTAAAGAATGGAACAGCAGGGCTCTCAGAGCTACTTGGTAGCATGGTAGGGATGCCTTTAGAAAGGACATTCATTCCAATTTCAAGTGCATTTTGCCCTGATTAGTCCACGAGTCAGGCAATGTTTTCCTTTTCATTAAGATGTCAAAATCAGAGAAGGGAAAAGAGGTGGAAACTGACTGTGTGTTTCCTGACTTACTAAATTTTTTTCCTTTTGTCTTAATTCCTAAAGACAGATGAGGGAAAGTGACCTGAAATACAGTCTCAAAGAGTTACTGCAAATTACTTCATTACTGAAAATCAAATGGAGCAAAAACACTAGCAAACAGCAACAACTACATGTCACATGCAGATATACCTGAATGGAAGATAGGGGGGATTTGAGCCAGCTATGAGTGCTCTGTAGGCTTCTTCTGGTGTCTTCTTTAAATAGATTACCTAAGATAAACAAACAGCAACATTTAGTCATAAATGCATACACAACACTAATCTGATCACGTACCAAGTATAACACACGATCATATTTTCACTCTTTGGACAGACATCTTAACGAACCCTCCCCCCAGGCAATCACCTCTTCTGATCAAGGAGTTTAGCAGCGTTTAATTCAAGAGTCATACAAAGAGAAAGATTCCAAGTTTAGACAAGGAACCATAGAGAAGGTTCTCCAAAATTTATTTACTAAAGTATAACTGAACAAAGGCATATTCGGGGGGAGGAGTGGCAATGGGAAGAGGACTGTTGTATTTTATTAATATCTGCTAACCAGAGGTGTAACTAAGGCTTCTTTCATAGGAACGTCTCCAACAGGTAAAAGTCCAAGGTCTTGGTCAGTTACAAAGGACATGCTCCCATGGCTAGGTTTATTAAAAGGTCTATTTGCTATGAGGGGACCCAGTGATATTCCTAAAGACTAAATAAATCCAAACCAAACATTTAGTGAGTTACTGTCTTTACTGGCTACCTTTATGGAAACAAGAGCCATTTTACTATACTTTACTACAGATAGCAGCAATACCTAAGTCCCAGATAGCCTAGTGAATGCTATCTTACAAAAAATATGCACAGATTCCAAGTGACAATTTCACAAAGAGCTTCTTCTTGGTGTTTAGCTTCAAATTATGGAAACCTCCTCTGTAAACCACAAGTAACAATAACTACTGACATAATCATGTAACTTAGCATAAGCTATAATACACATGATGGGTGCTCAATAATTATTTAAAGTTTATATAGATAATATTGTTTGGTCCTGACAACTCTCCGAGGTATTAATATACATTTTACAAATGAGGAAAAAAGACTGTGAGATATTAAATTACTTGTCCATGGAAAGTACTCAAGCAATCAATGACAAGCGCTTAATTAGTATCTACCTATGTTCCAAGCTCTGTGCTAAGTACAAGATAACAAAGAAAAATGTGAAATAGTTCTTGCCTCAAAGAGTTTACATTCTAGTGGGCAATAAATACATACATACATAAATACAAATATACATACATACATATGTATTATAAAAGAAGAGATAGATAGATGTGTGAAGCACAACAAATATATCAGTATGACTGAATTGTAGAGTGTGCAGAAGAGAATGCTGGAAAAATAGGGAAGGCCCAGGTAGTGAAAAGCTCTAAATGTCAAACAGTTGATATTGAATCTGGAGGTTATAGGGAGCCACTGGGATTTATTAAATGGAGGTCAGGTTGTGATATGGTGAGGCTGGTACTTTAGGAAAATCACAACATTTGAGTGGAGGAAGGATTGTGTCCCTTGAAGCAAGGAGACAAATTAGAAAGTTATTGCGATAGTCCAGGCTAGAGGCAATAAGGGCCTGAACAACGGTGGTGCCTATGTGAGTGGAGAAAAGACAATGTATAGAAATAATATGGTGGAGACAGAGATGACAAGATTTGACAACCAACTGGATATATGCAGTGAGTAAGAGTAAAGCATTGTGAAATCAAGAATACAAACCTTGGATGAATGGAAAGAATAGTTGCAACATAATTTACTGGTTGAGTTCTCTGGGATATTTGCAGCATGGATATTTATCATCTATCTGCTCAAGAAAGACACTGAGCTTCTGGTGTATAATTCTCATCATCACTCAACAAAGGATGATACATGTATATAATGGATTAAAAACTAGGAAAGAGAGGGATTCAGAGAAACCTGGGGAGGCTGGTATGAACAGATGCAAAGTAAAGTGAGCAGAATCAGGAAAGTAACTTATACAATTACTACTATAATGTAAAGAAAAATAATTTTAAAAGTCTTAAGACCTGTCTCTGCAACCAATGAACAATCAGGACACCAAAAGACTGAACATGAAGTGTGTTATCATCTCTTGGTAGAGAAGTGATAGACTAGAGATGCGGAATGAGATACTTTCAGGCATGACCAATGTGTGGAATTACTGTGCTTGATTATTTGTTACAAGGCAAAGGTTTATTTTCTTTTTTGAGTGGGGCAGGGAAATTTTGAGGGTGGAGAGAAACAGAGGAAGTAGTGATAGTGATGCTCCCATCAAAAAAAAAAACCCATTAATGAAACATTTGAAAATAAATATGGGGGCAGCTGGGTGGCGCAGTGGATAGAGCACCAGCCCTGAAGTCAGGAGGACCTAAGTTCAAATCCGGCCTCAGACCAAACACTTGACACTTACTAGCTGTGTGACCTTGGGCAAGTCACTTAACCCCAACTGCCTAAGTAATAAATAAATAAATAAATCATAAAATAAAATAAAATAAATATGAGAACATAAGGACAATCAGAAGGGGACACATACCCCCAGGAAAGTGTTGATGCTATCAGGTTAGGTTTAATGTTGTTGTTGTTCAGTTGTGTGCAACTCTCCGTGACCATTTGGTGTTTTCTTGGCAAAGATACTGGAGTGGTTTGTCCTTTCCTTCTCCACTTCATTTTACAGATGAGGAAACTGTGGCAAACAGTTGATCAAGATCACACAGCTAGTAAGTGTCTGAGGCCAGATTTGAACTCACAAAGATGTCTTCCTGACTCAAAGCCTAGCACTCTATGTACTATGCCACCTAACTGCCTAGCTACTTTATAAAAAAAGCCAAGCTGTAAACAAGAGATTTAGAATTTCACATATAGTCCACTTTTTCTGTACTTCTTTGCACACAGAAATTTTCATGTTTGTCAAGTTCATAATAAAGAAAATTTAATTTTAAAAATATAATTCTGGCCACCAGTTCATGCTGGGTATTAGGCAGGCATTTTTATAGCCTGAATATGTTTCTGTGTTTACCTTTTCTTTGCATAATCTACACTGATCACTAAATCCAGGATCCTTATGAATAAACCTCCTATAATTTCTGGTAGAAATTACCTGGTTCTGAATTTTCCTTATAAATTCTTCATTTCCATAGAAAAATAAGCCAAACAGCCATTTTTTTCAGTGCTTCTTTGTCAACATATTGTCAGCTAAGTTCATCCAGACAGCAACCATGAAATGCCTTTTGATTCCATTCTTGGGCCTTGACTGGTGCATAGACATCAACTAGAGGTAAATTACTTTAGTAACATTTGGTAATTCAATGCCGGTCTTTTTATTAAGTGGAAGAGGGGGACGGAGATGACGTTGCCTTGTGATATGATGTCAGCTTTTCCCAAAACTATTTCTGTAGATTTTTGTCCATTCATCATCAATCTCCTTACTTTTTTTTGATAAAGAAGTGTTAATCTTTCTATACTGGTATTTGAGTGATAGGCCCTGTTTTTTCATTAATATTGCGTGGGTTTCTGTTAAGATATTTTTCCAATATCTTTGGTCCATTTTATAGCTCCAAATGGGTACACTAAACCTAGTGGCATATAGGTGTTAATTGCTTTAATTATGTTCTTCTCATTCAAACTTGTTTTCCCAACTTCCTGCTGTGGCACCCTGCCCCTGCTACTGCTACTGACAGAACTGAATCCCTGGAGCTCTAATGTCCTAATTAAAGAGAGTCCACTATATTTAGCCATCCTGAGGGCCCCAACCATGTATCACCCCAGACATTTTCCTATTTATTGTCCTGCTGCTACTGCTGCTGCTGCTGAGGATGATGATGATGATGATGATGATACTAGTACTACCACCCCAAGAACTCCTATCCTGAAATGGTACTGTTCAGACTGGTGAAGCCCACTATATCCAATCACCCTAAACAACTGATCATGTTCCTGCCATGCTGCCCTACCCACTCCTCCTGTCAGTGATATCCAAATTTCCACACTGGGGTTGTCTGTTCTGTTTGCCCAGAGCCTACTATAACCAGTCAGTCTCAGACCCCTTTCCAGGCTTAATCGTGGCCATCTTCCTGCCATATTGAAATGTATATATCCTCTCACCCTCCCCCTTCCTCTAGGAACAATAATCAAATCAACAGGATGATTACTTCTAGAAAGGCTGTGTCAACCAACTGTTTTATGGTTCCACTCACTATCCCTGTGACTTCACAAACCAAAAGGTTCTATCTTCCCAGCTCATCATTACCTTAAATGTATCACCTCTCTTGTTTAGAATAAAAGCTCCTAGGAGACATCAGTGTCTCTTCTGTTTTTGTATCCTCAGCCTGGCACAGAGTAGGCATTTTAAAAAAATACCTTTCAGAACTGGAAACTGAGGGGATGCCAATCAATTGTGGAATGACTGAACAAGTTGTGGCATATAATAGTATGAAATAAGAAATGACTAGCAGGATGCTTTCAGAAAAACCTAGAAAGACTTGCATGAACTGATGTAAAGTGAAATGAGCAGAACCAACAGAACATTTGTACACAGTAATGGCAATACTGTACGATGATCAACAGTGAACAACTTAACTATTCTCAGCAATACAATGATCTAAGACAATTTCAAAAGACCCACAATGAAAAATGCTACCCACCTCCAAAAAAAGAAATGATGGAAATATGGAAATGTTTTGCATGACTACATATGTATAATCTATATAAAACTGCTTTCCATTTCAATGAGGGGGGAGGAAACAAACAGAGGAGAGAATATGGACCTCAAAATTTTTAAAAATGTAAAAATTTACATATAATTAGAAAAAATTTAAATCAAAAAATATTTTTTATTCACTCATTCATTCATTTTAGGATGCCAGCAAATTTTTAGCATATTCAGGCACAGACTTCTCTTAATAGCTTTCTGTTCAATATTTCTTGCCTGAAGTACACCAATGTTTTCACAAGTATTGCCCTCCTCTATTGTTTCAATATGATCTTGAGATTCAAGATCAAAGCCTTCATTTACCTTGACACATATTGAGAATTTTACACTTAAACAAGTAGCATTTTTATATCACTGGAGAAAAATACCATGAAATGAAGGAGTTTCACACACACACACACACACACACACACACACACACCATTTTAAATAAATATTTATTGAAAATACTCAGGATTCAGAAGTTTCTTCTTCC